AGAAAGAAAGACACAGAGATGAGATGAGATGTGTTTAGGCTTTTCACTGAAGGCAAGACACACAAGCACCTAGTCCTAATTCTGAGGTCCACACGCAGAAGCAGAAGTACATGTGTGCTTCTGTGTGAGCCCAGATGTTAGAGAGGCTACTTCTGCTTGGGAGTTACAGAAAGCTCTCAACTTTGGGAGGGAGTGTTGCTAAACAGAAAAGGGTAGAAGTGGTCATTACAACAAGAAAACAGTGCCTGGGTTAGCTTGGAGGTATGAGCATGTGTGTTAATATGGCAGAATGGGGAGAAGTTTCTGACTGAGGCAGGAGCTGTGTGTGACAAGCTGAGGAAGGTGTGAGTATGGGGTGACAGGTACAGTTTATGTCAGACAAGCAGCAAATTTCTTTCTGTTTTAAACCGAGTTTCAAAACAATAAAAGCAGGAAAGAAATCACTGCAGTGTAATTTTCAAGACTTCTCTTTTTATAGATTGGTTCATATTTCCAAGTATTCTAAAGGATAATGATTTTTCTGGGTCATGGCCAATTTTTGGCCATTGAGTTCTTCATTAGAGTAGAACTCTAGAAAGTAAAGATGGTTTTACAATTACAAAGGACAAGACTGGTGATAGCTCATTGTGGTTTGGCAATGTCTGGAAAATTGGGGTGAGACCTTTGACTCTTTATCATGTGAGAGAAGAAATAAAAAAATATTTCAAGAGAAAATAGAGAGGAAAAAAAAGGCACATTCATAAATTCTTTGTTTTTTCACTGTTATCATCCAGGTGACTTTCATGAATAAATATGTGTTTATGCAAAAGAAATCACTGGTAGATTATTTGTAGCAATTTTCAGGAATTTTCTCTTTCATAATTGTAAACTTTCAAAAAGACATTAATGAAATTTTAAAATGTCAAATGAAAGGATAATGCATAGTTCATAAGGCTTCCAGGCTACCACTTTCTGGTGTTTTTTGTTTGTTTGTTTTTGCTTTGGCATTTAATTGCTAGTTATATGTTCATTTTTGTTTTGAGACAAGATGTTATGGTTTGTGTCTGGATGTGGTCCTAAGCCTCATGCAGTCATAGGTGAGGCTTTTCAGAGGGACTGGATCTAGAGTGTGTGATGCTGGGATCA